CACGACAAGACAAGACGACCAAACACAACGACAAGACAAGACGACCAAACACGACGACAAGACGACCAGACTAGACCAGATAAGACGACCAAACACGGCAAGACAAGACGACCAAGCACGAAGACAAGACGACCAGACACGACAAGATGACAAGACAAGACGACCAAACACGACAACAAGACGACCAGACTAGACCAGATGAGATGACCAGACAAGACGACCAGACTAGACCAGATGAGATGACCAGACAAAACGACCAGACTAGACCAGATGAGATGACCGGACAAGACGACCAGACTAGACCAGATGAGACGACCAGACAAGACAACCAGACACGACAAGACAAGACGACAAGGCGATCGACAGATAGATTGATAGACAGACCGATAAATAGAATGATGAATTTCAGGCATCCAATAACGTTTTCTAATTACACAGAAAAAAAGACACATGAAATAATCAAAAAAGAAGCAGAATACACAAATTTGGATAAAGACAACATGCACATGCACAAGGTGGCAGGGAGTACTACATTCGATTAACCAAAATAGATAAGACCGCATACAGCACATTACACACCTGGCGACAAACTATTACACAGCAATACAACAATCTATAGCAATGACCTGGAAAAGCAACCCTTGTATAAGATTTGACCTTGATTTGTGATCTTAAAGTTTAAGTGATAAAAAGCCTACGCAACAGGCCGTCTAGTGGTGGTACAAATTGCTATAAACTTTAAATTATCTTGAGCGAATCAGAAGTTATGGCCCAGACAAGCGAAACACTTGTTATAACTTTGACCTTAATTTGTGACCTTGACCTTGGAGCTGAGGGGATTTAAAGCATATGCGGCACTCCAACTAGTGATGATGTGTATCTACTCTTATTCAATATTCTTGAGCAGAAAGTTCTCAGAAGTTATGAGCGGGACGATAGAAAGTTTACCGATTAACGGACAGAGACTTTACCATTACACGTTCCGTATAATACAGTACACATAAGAAAACTTGATATGCTGCTAAATTTAAATTGTATCCAAGTTCTTTTGGACCTGACAGAGTTTTTTTTTAACATAAAGCTGATGGTTGGTGTAGCTCCAAACACTGAAATAAGGACACCAAAACTAAGCAAAGATCAAGGTGACATTTCCTCGAACCACTTACAGCTTCACAGTTGAGGCAGCGCGTCTCATTGGTCAGCGTTCCTTGGAAGATCTCATGAACCCAAGTCTGCTGTGTCTCCTTCCCTCCTTCCCCTTCGTCTACCCCCTCACTTCCTTCCCCACTCCCATTGTGTACGAGCTTGCCGTTCTGCTGTCGCTCCTGGCTCTTCTCCTCCTGGAGAAGGTCCGCGATAGTGTTGAGGAGGTAGTTGAGGAATTCGTGGGCATCCTGCTGCATGTAGTTGTCAAACAGCTCTGTGGAGGTCAGAGATACAGAAGCATTACCACATGCAAAAAAGATACCGTGAAAGGAGTTAAAGCAAAGAAAGTTGCAGTGCCAAAAAGAAATGCTGACAATTCTAAGTGCCTCCTTTTTCTCTACTTGCTTTCCGTTCCATTTCATTGCCATTATTACTTCCTCAAACATGTGATTAACTTCTCAGCTGACATTCATATCTTTCTCTTTGCTATCTTCTTTCCTTTTCCAAGTTCCCTGCCTCATCAATTACTCCTTCAGCATCTCAGCTGTGTTGCTCCGCAGCAAAAGGAAGTTATTTTAAATGAGGTACTGATGAAAGACAAATTGCCAGCCTTCTAAACATTTGGTGCTCGGTTGGATGTTTTGCTGAGAGATGACAGGAAGTCCTGCGTCCTGGCACGAGGAGCAGCTGCACATTCTTTATCTAAGAATGACTTGAGATTAGTCCGTGTACTGAAGCTGTACCATTTTCCTTTCTTAGCCGCGAGATGAATTTTTTGGGCGGGATGACGCCGACTTTCTTCTTCTGTGTGGCGATGCTGTTGAACAGGTCGGCCAAGCAGGTGAGGAGGGACTCCTTCCGCCGAGGCTGCACCTGGAGAGAAGATGGGTCACTCTGTAGCTCCCTAAATGTTTCAACAACCTAACAGCTTTTTTATTTTTTGTGGGGGGGGGACATATGCATTAAAGCACTAAAATGTTGGATAAATTATGTTGCACAAGAGCTGTGAGTGTAAACCATGGACATACAGTACAAACCTCCAGGTCATAGTCTGTGCATATTAAAGTCCCTTAATTTTCTCAATATTGAGAATGATGCCAGCAGGACCATTTTGTAGGAGATGCCATGTTGTATTTTTTAAGTCTTTGCACTAGCCCCATTGGTCTTTAAAGTGCATCTACTTCCCTGCACACAATCATGGCATCACATTACCTTCCTAATTACCCAACTAATTACAGCTAAACGTATCGTAAAAGTTAATATTTAAAACCTACAGAAGTAAGGTGATTACTACATAGATTAAAAGAGTCTGTATTTTTGTATGAGGTGCAGTCTTATTTGTTAATGAAGAGGGGCAGGGCTTAAAACTTGACCTATGGGGAAGCTTTACCTTTTCTGACTTTAACTTTCAGGATTCAGTTTGAGGTTCAGTATTATAATTAGAGCCTAACCGATATATTGGTAGACCTGATAATTTAGGCTGATATAGACGTTTGGGGGCCTATTGGTATCTGTGATAATTGTCCCATTATGCACCGATATAAGCACTTCTAATTTTCACCCCGAAAATGCTGGAACCAGCCGTAACTGTACAATGTATCCAGCAAAGGGCGCATGAAGACTACTTTCAAATCATTGCCGTTCACTTAAGTTGCACTTTCATCACAGCCGACGCAGGGAGCAATACTGTGTAGCGTATGTTGCTAAACAGAGCATGGTAAGTTTATTTGAACTGATATGTAAAATTAAAACAAATCAACAATACATTATCTTCAATCCTCCAACCTGCTTGTCATTAGCTATGTGCCTCTCAAGTTAGCAAGCTAACTTTAGATAACCTAGCATAGGCTATTGCCTTGTAAAGTTTTAGCCAGACCAATAAATCTAATGTAGCAGTAAATATTGTTAGTGTTAGTAACGTTATCTTTGTCGTCCTCAATGAAATACATTGTTTGTGTGAAATCTCAACTTCTCTGCAAAGAAAAACAAAACACAGCTGAGGTCAATACTAATTAGGCCTTCACCATACGTGAATGACTGTTTAAACTATGAACAGAGAAGGGCATTTCTTTGTTTAATTTACATCTTTGTAACACACTTGATAACTTTACAGTGAATAGATGAGGATAGAAAATGTGAACATATGTTAGGAAGACCGTTTCCAGTGCACCACTTGTAATCCTAGTGTGGGACTACGTATAACGTGGATCTGATTTGCTTAGCTTCATGGTTGCTAACAGCTGCGCTAAATAAACAAGCCTCACTCCACTCACCGTTTACTTCAATTCTTGGGGTGGACAAAGCTCTAAATTTTTCAGCCATTATATTGATTATCGGCGATCGCCTCACCCTCCAAATATCGATATCGGCGTTAGTCAAAATTCCCATATCGGTCAGTCTCTAATTATACTATATACTGCATCAATTGTTAATGCCTGTGGGAAAAAATAGCTATCACAATCATTTTAGTTGTATCAATAAAGTAAAGGGGGCAGGGCTTTCTAATCCTAAAAAATATTTATTTTTCCAGGTCATACCTCAAAACAAAGGGGATGAGCTGAATTTAAATAAAAAAAAAAAAACATTAGTGAGTACTTATATATATAAATATTCTTACAATACTTATAAAAGCCCTGTTTTGTTTTAATTAATCTGCATTGATTTGGTATTACTTTTGAGGTTCTTTAACAATAGAAATAGCAAAAATACAGTTAGTTTTCTCGGTTAAAGTTATTTTTTTTGTCTAAACAATGACAAGTCAAGCTTTGTGCATTCTATTGTATTGGTGTTTTTGTTCTTCCAAAAGAGCCAAATAAATTATTATGCTACAACTATAGAACGCCTGTTTAGTTTTACACACCACATATGAGCGTACTGACATCAGTTTATGTCAAAAACAATGACGTACCAGCTTCTTGAAGAGGCGTCTCCTGTCACAATGCAATATTTCAGCCACTACTTAAGCAGCTTCAAATATGGGCCAAACGAGAGGCATAGATGTAGGTGTAACACAAGAAAACAGGATTCAGCTGAACTGCACTATTTTAGGTGGACAGCAGAGTCAACAGTTTTACACCCCAGTTCAAACAGCTCATGCACGTACCTTTTAATAGTCTATAAACATGTTTTCGTGATTTATCCTCAAGAACAAAACTATTCTTGTCTTTGAGAACGCTGAGTGTTAAATTGTAGACAAAAACAAATCTCTTCATAGAAAATCTCAAATCGAGTGCCCAGAACAAAACTCTGAACAGTATAAAGATGACAACAACAAAAAACCTGTTAAATAACCTGACTGACCCTCAGAGTATATTGGTTCAGATAAGATTTACATCATGTGAGCTTTTTGATTGAACAACAGCCAAATGGACAATCAGTCATGTTTTTATTTCCACTGTTGTATTTATCCAGAACACTTGTCCATGTATTCATTTTACCGGTTTTTGAAGAAGCCATTGCTGTGTCTAAATTTATAGCATCATTGTACATTTTCTAATAAATTAAGCCAAATCAATCTACAAGTCATTTGAAGCAGAACCAGTAGATGATCCAGCTAAACAACAACAAAAGATCCCTCTAAGCAGGATTACTGAGCTGATTAGCTACTTGATAAGTCAAAGCTGGTTTTCTGACTAGAGCTATAAATGGATTTTTGTAAAATAAGCAATATTTGCATCCGACAACCTATCAGAATTATGAAATAGCAGCAACAAATTGTGGCATAAATATCAAAATGTAAAGCAATGTAACCTTTTCCTGTCACAACATGAGAAGACGCGGGGATGTGAAGACGGAACTAACTCTGGTTCTGCATAACTTAATAAGCTCATAAACATCCACATTATTACAGTCCAAGCATTCCTGATGATTAATGACTGTGTACTGTATTAATGTGTTTCTGGTGCATTACTGGGACACATGGGAAAGCTCTGAAATGTTCACCGTGCAAGGTTTTAGTTCATTAGTTTTTAAAACATTTTAAGATAGATGTGAACATGCTGGTCTGATTTACTAAGTAAACACTATACAGCACAACACCTCTGATGTTTGTTAAGCCCAACCTTTAGAAGGATGCAGCTCAAACACAAATTTATCAACGAAAAAATCTTAAATAATGTGGTAGTGGTACTGTTAAGAAATCATGCTTAGAAAACCTAGCTTGTATGGGAACTAGTGTTGGTTTTTGTCTTTTATTCACAGAGTGTTTGTTTATTTAAGGGACTGCTAGGTTGAATGATTTTATTTCAAACTCTCAACAACCAAACTTCCTCTTATATTACAGATCTTGTTGTTCTATATTTTCCCAACAGAGCACTTCACTCTCAGACTGCAGGTTTATTTGTGGTTCCTAGAGTTTCCAAAAGCAGAATGGGAGGAAGATCTTTCAGTTAAGGGGTTCCTCTCTTGTGGAACCAACTTCCAGTTTCTGTCCGTAAGACTGACATATTGTCCAGTTTTAAGACTGGGCTAAGGAAATACACCTGAACCATAGAAACTACACCTGAACCATAGAAACTACACCTGAACCACTGAAACTACACCTGAACCACTGAAACTA